TCATCGATGTTTCTAACTCTCTATCCCTCTCTCCTCCTCTTTGTAAAAAATCAATAAAATATATTAAAAAAAAAAATAAAGATTGGCCCATCCTCCAGGGCCTCTTCCTTATTAAGAAGACAGAAGACAGGTCATCAGTTACTGCTTCAACCCACTCTCTTACTTTCTTCCTGTACACTTGTGAACATCCTTGCCATCCTTCCTTCCCTCCCCTCTCAGAACATGAGGGGCTTTCCTCTTCCTATTGGCCCATCCTTTAGCCTGCATCCCAGAACCCACATGGTTCTGTCTTCGCAAGAACTTGGTGCCATCCCTCCAATACTTCTGCTTACATTTTCAAGCCGTTTATCTCAACTGAATTCTTCCTCTAAGACTACAAACAGCTCAGTTTCTCCTGTCCTAAAAAATTCCTCCTTTGACCCCTCTAGCTACTGCCCAATATTTCTTCTTCCCTTCTATGTGCACAGTCTCCATTTATTCAGCTCCTAGTGCCTGAAACTCACAGCTTTGGCCATATTACTAAAATTCCACAGGCAAAGGTCACCAACGAATTTCTAACTGTCACATCCAAAGAACACTTTTTAAGCTTTACTTTCCAGACTTTTCTGATTCCTCTCACGTTGAAAGTTCACTCCGTTGACTTTCATGGAACCATATGGTCGGGGTCTTCATGTTCACTCATCATTTCCTCTCTCTCTCACTTAGGGGTTCTGGTTCTTTAACACCCCTCCCCCCCCCACACCTAAAATATGCTTTTTATTTATTTTAGAGAGAGAGGAAGAGAGGGGGGGGGGAGAGAAACATTGATGTGAAGTTGCCTCCTGTATATACCCCAACCAGGGATCAAACCTGCAACCTGGGTGTGTGCGCTGATCAGGAATCGAACTGGTGACCAACACTCAACCAACTGAGCCACACCGGCCAGGGCTACACTCCTCTTTTAAGTGCTGCTTTTCTGGCTTCTGTCCTTGGTCTTCTCTGCTCCATGTAGGCATTCTCCAAGGCTATCTCATGGTGTCAGTACTAACCATATGCAGATGACTCTCAAATTTCTGTTTCCCCTGAGGTTGGGGTTATGCAGTCAACTTCCTTCTGGACAGCTGAAGCTGGGCATTCTCAAAGCACTTCAAGTTAATGTATTCAAACTGGATCCATGATTCCACTCCCAAACCTGAAATTCTTTTTTTTAAAGTTACTTTGAACTTTTAATTATTTTTTGTTAATCCTCACTTGAGGATATTTTCCCATTGATCTTTTAGGGAGAATGGAAGAGAGAGGGAAAGACAGAAACATCCATTTGAGAGAAACACAGTAATTAATGGCAGCCTGCATGCGTCCTCACCAGGGCCCAGGCCAGAGAGGAACCTGCAACTACGGTATGTGCCCTTGGCTGGAATCAAACCCAGGACCCTTTGGTCCACAGACTGATGCTCTGTCCATTGGGCCAAACCAGTGAGGGCAAACCTGAAATTCTTTATCTCAATTGGTTGTGTTTCCACTGGATCCTCCATACCCATGTGATCTGTTGAGCTGGGCCATTCTTTCTTGTGGGGAGACTGTACTGTCTATGGTAGGATGGTTAGCAGTATCCCTTGTTTCAATCCACCGGATGCTCACATTAACCTACCCGTTGAGACAACAAAAAAGTGTCTCCAGACATTGCCAAATATCTCCTGGGAGGGAGGTGTCAAACTAACCCGGGGCTGAGGACCGCTGGGTTAAAAGCCTGGGTTAGGAGCCACATCTAACTATGTAACTTTGGACTAGTTAGCTACCTCTTGGAGATTTTGTTGGTTTTTCTCTTAAGATGGAGCTAATTCTCACCTCATAAGGTGAGCTTACATAAGGTAATTTAGGTAAAGTGCACAGTCTGTCCCATATTGGGCATTTGTTGAGAGCAACAAAGATTCCTCCCTCCCTCATCCTTACATCCAAACACCCAGGCCTCCCAGTTTTATCTCCTAAGGCTAGCTACTCTTCTCCTTATGCTATAGACTCAGCCTAGAATTCATACATTGAAATCCTAACCCCCAATGTGGTGGTATTAGGGGGGTGACGAGGCCATAGAGCAAAGCGCGCATGAGTGGGATTAGTATCCTGATAAAAGGACTCCGGAGAGTCCCCTGCCCCTTCTGCCACATGGGGGCACAGTGAGAAGAGGCCATCTAAGGAACAGGAAGCAGCCTCCCACCGAACACTGAATCTGATCTTGGACTTCCCAGCCTCCAAAACTGTGAGAAATAAATGTTTGCTGTGTAAGCCACCAGGCTATGGTATTCTGTCATTGCAGCCCAGAAGGACCAAGCGTTTTCTATCTGGATTTTTGGAAGAGCTTTGCAACTCATTGTCACACCCTCCAGCCAGCCTTGCGCCCCTCAGATCCACATTTCACACAAGGCCTTCTCGGTCTGGCTGCTGCCCACCTCTGCAGCCCCATCTCTCACCCCTCCCAGCCTTGAACTTCTAGTCTAGCCTCACTGAAATGAGAGGCATTCCTTCTATACCATGCAGTTTCCTGTCCCCGTGTATTAGCTCACACTGTTCCTTCTGCCTGGAATAACTTCCCACACCCCTCTTTATCTGGCTTACTCTTAAAAGCTCATGTGCATTTCACCGCCTCCAAAAGTTATACCTGGCTTCCTTTCCCAGGCTGGGCTCCATATTCCTTCCTCTGTGTTCTAGGTGGTCCCCTGGTCAGATCTATTCCCTTGCATCTATCTATTTGCAGTGTATTTTTTATTATATATATATATATATATATATATATATATATATATATATATACTTTTTATTGATTACAGAGAGGTAAAGAAGAAGAAAAGAGAGAGACAGAAATTACACACACGTGCCAGAATTCAGGCCTCACTGATGAGACAGAATCATTGATCCATGGTCAAGCCTGCAACCTGGGCATATGCCCTGACCAGGAATTGAACTGTGACCTTCTGGTTCATAGGTTGACGCTCAACCACGGAGCCCGGCTGGCCCACTGCAGTGTGTTTTTGTTTGTGTGTCTGTCTCTGCAGGGGTGCAGAGGGGCAGGGATTGTGTCTTTTTCACATCTACAAAACACCTAGCACCTCCCCTGACACACATTTGGGGCTCAGCAGATATTTACTGAGCGAATGAATGGCTATAGCACCACCATTACCCTCTATGTCAGGCTGAGAGCCGTGGTTTAGAAGTGGTTATAAAATAGTCCATAAATCTGCTGTCTCTGTGGCTCAGAAGCCGCGCTTCCTCAGCCAGGGGCGGGTGGCAAGCGCAGTGCTGACTGGTAGCACTTGCTTAAGTGTGTGAGGTCGGCTAATGATGCAGGGAGCAACACCGCCACGGATATCTGCTTACAGTAGCATCAGCTGGCTCTCCTGAGAGTCAGAGGCGCTTTCCGCACCTCTCCCATCTGTGGCCTTTCCAGCAGCCTAATTGATGGCCCTTCCTGTCTGTGAACTTCGTCCTTAGCACCTTCACTCACCCCTGGACCATCACCCTTGCGTTTTTGCCGCTGACTCGGCCACCCTTCAGGGCCACACATATAAATTAAGCACTGTTATGCGCAAAAGCCATTGGAGGTGTTACTTGCTGTTCTTCAGCCAGTGGGGTCCCTCCGGAGCCCACCAGGATGCGAGGCTGCCTCTTCCAGGTGCCTGTCACTGCTGGGGCAGATGTTTAGACCCTCCTCTTGCTAGATCCCGGGAAGGAAGCCCAGGCAGGCACTAAGAGGTGTTCAGTCAGTCTCGCCTCCTTCCTCCTCCAATAACAATAAGCCTTTGCTGGTCGGCTTGAGGTTACAGGGTTAGCCTGTGGAGTTCTGAGAACCTGCTATGTCCCTATTCAAGCTCACCTCTGAGCCTCGCCTCCTCATCTGTCCGGTGTGTGCTGGGTGGAGGGGGAAGGCGTGGAGCAGGTAGATAACTCAGGGCCCTCCTTCCCAATTTTCAGAAGGATGCCCGGGTGTGTAGGATAGCTCCGACAGGGGTTCCCAGGAAGCTGGGGGGGTGGGGAGGGGGACACATGTAGTTGCCACTTGGGGAGCCCCGCGGCTTAGCCCAAGGGCGGGCGGGAAAGCTCCTGGCCTCTGAGCGCAGATGTCTGGCCAGAAACCTGGCTCCCGGAGGGAGGGCAGGGGTCGGCCGCGTGGAGCCGGGCGGGGCTGGGGTGGGGGCGGCGGAGTCAGGAAATTCCCAGGAAATTCCTTTCCGTTCCCGCATTCCCCGCCCCTTTCCTCGGTGCCCGATCTCTCGGAGCCTCGGGAAACAGAAAATGAAATGTTACTCGGGTTCCCTCGCGGTCCTTCTCCAGCCCCGGCCACCTGGGTCCGGAGCGCGCGTGGGAGCGCAATGACACCCGCGCGCCCGAGTTCGGGCCTCCCCGCGGGCAGGGCGGGTGTCCAGCTCCCGGCGGCTCCGGGGGCTCCCGAGCCGCCGCCGCTCGGTCCCTGAGCTGGACGAGGCGTCCCCGGCTTCGGTCCCGTTCGGCTGAAGCTGGGAATCACATGAGCCCCAGGGGAGTGGGAGCCCGGGGTGCGGGCGGGGGCGTGCGCGCCGGGGGGAAGGAGCCGCCCCGTTCACCTCGATGCTCGGCGGCCCCGCTGACGGATGCCAGAAATTCCCAATGAGAGGCGATGGGGGGAAGTTTGGGCAACTCGGCCTGGCCAATAGAGAGCCTAGGGAGGGCTCTGCCCCTTCCCCTCGCCCCCGCCCCCGCCCGCCTCGCTCCGGCAGCGCGAGCGTGTGGGCCCCGCTCAGTGTGCGTGGAGACCAGGTCCGAGCGCCCTCCCGCCCGAGGCTGGCCGTCCGCGAGCAGCAGCCTCCCGCCGCCGCCGCCGCCGCCAGCAGCAGCCTCCGCGAGCCGCGCCGCGGCGGACCGGGGCGCAGGGGAGCCAGCCCGGCCCCGCCAGCTCAGCGCCGCCCGGCTCCACTCGCACCCCGCTCCGGGGCAGCCGCCGCCGGGAGAGAAGGTGGAGGAGGAAACCCAGCTCCTCGCACGCGCGCACCACCATGGACCATTATGATTCCCAGCAAACCAACGACTACATGCAGCCCGAAGAGGACTGGGATCGAGACCTGCTGCTGGACCCGGCCTGGGAAAAGCAGCAGAGAAAGGTCAGCAGCCGCCCCAGCCCCCTGCTGCCCCCGGCCCGCTCCGTTCCGCCCGCCGCGCTAGCGGATCGAGGCTGGGAGCCGGTTCCTGGCGCGCGGGCGGGGGCGGGGGCTGCGCGCCCGCCGCTCGGTGTGGGGTGTTGGGTTACAGGCGGGGGGCGGAAGGGGGAGAGCCCCTGCCCCGGAGCCCGCGAACGCCCAGCCGGACTCTGGGGCAGCGGGGCCGCCCTCGGGCGGGTCGCTTTGGGGGCTGGTGAGCCAGGTCACCCGGCTGCCGCCGCCGCCGCACCGTCCCGCGTGGGCAGGGCGCTGGCTGGGGCGGTGCTCGGGAGCCTGGGGCAGAGCCCCCGGCTGCTCGGTAGCTGCGGCTCCGGATCGATTTCCCTTCTTCCCTTCCCCGCCCCCTGGCCGCCTCTCCATATGGCGGGCGTGCGGTGGCAGCGCGCTTCCTGGGCTGCCCCGGGCTGGGGAGGTGGAGGGGGCGCCTCCCTGCCCGGCCCGCAGACCGCGGGGAGCGAGGGCGCGGGGGGATCGGAAGCCGCCCCCGGACCGGCCCGGAGGGGGACCTGCCGAAGCGGGGTTGGGGTGTTCGCGGGCTCCCCGGCGGGCCCCTGGGGGCGGGGTCAGGACGGCGGACCGTTTGATTGCTTCACTCAGTTGGGTTGTTGGTTGCGAGCGGAGGTGGGCTTGGGTCAGCGTCCTGCCCCTCCGGACCCTGCTCACTCCTGGCAGAAGGCGAATGTAGGCAGCTTGGTTTGAGTGGAGGGACTTCAGGGCCGGGGTTTGTTCCAGGAATGTTTAGGGTCATGGGGATCCCTGCGTTAGCCACCGAGCCCTGTCCCAGCCTCCGTGTGCCGGGTGCGCGCTCCACCCCCGGAGCCCGGCTCGCAGCTGGCGGTGGGACTCCCGGCGCAGTGGCCAGGGGCAGGAAGAGGTCAGAAACCACTCTTTGGGTGGGGGGAGGGCGCCCCGACACCGCCTTTGCTTCCTGCCTGCGCCGTGAGGTCTTGCCCCAGGCGGCCACGTACCCTCGTCACCCCTCTCTCTGCCTCCAACCCCCGCCGCCCGCTCCCATCCGGTCCCTCCTCGTTTCATCCCTCTTCGCCCCACCCCCATTCCCTCACCCCCTGCTGATCTGGGAATGGGGGGTGGGGGTGGGGGACAGGATGGCGCGTCCCTCTGGATAGTGCGGTTAGGGCTGGGCTTGAGGGAGAACGCTCATGTCCAAAAATGGTAACATTCATTCCCTTTTTTAAACTTAAAAGGGGGGGAGGTTAGGGAGCCGACTGAAGTTTTTTTTTTTTTTTTCTTTTCTTCAGCCAAAGGCATCCTGTATTAGCTCACTCAGGAATCCTAAGCCCTTTTACTCACTTCATCAGACAAGTAGAGGTAATTTAAAACACACACACAAAGGGCTTCCTCAGAGCCAGTCGACCTGACACCCGGGCAGGCTTTGGCTGGGCCTGGCCCCGAGCGACATCCCAAGGTGCCCCGGCTTTGAGCTGACTGATTCAATGGAAATACAGCAGTCACTGAAGACCACCCCCTCTCTTCCTCTCTGCCCCCTCCGGGGGAGCTGTGACAGGACCCCACTCACCCCCTTGTGTCCTGGGACAGCTGGGCGATTGGTGGAGCTGAGAGGGGAGTGGGTGACAGAAATTCCCGTGGGGGCAAGGCAGAGGAGGGCTCTTTTTTAAATTTCAGGGTGAAGCCTTCCTTCTTGAGAATAGATTTTTAACTTGGACAGGAGTGACGAGATTAGGATGGTGGGTGTCTTGGGGTCACCCGTGGGGAGTGGAAGAGAAGGAAATGGTTGTTTACGGAGTAGCTGCTTACTGTAAGCCTAGGAGGAGTGGGAGTGACCGGACTGCCCGAGAATGAGAAGTGAGGTCCTTTCGGGGACTGGGAGGACTCAGTTCCTGGGAAGCACCAACTCTTGCTTCCCCAGCACGGAACAGGGGACCTGCCCAAGAGTATTGAGTATTATCAAATGAATGAATGAACATATTAAATATATTTGGGAAGGAAAGTGATAGAGTGCCCTTCTCTCTCTCTCTCTCTCTCTCTCTCTCTTTATGTATATCTACTCATAAAACTCTGGCTGGGGTGGTGTGGCAACTGAGTGGTCTGGGACCTGTGGTAATCTACTGGGCAAACTCAACAGTTCCAAAAGCTGGCGTTGGTTGGTGTGTGCCAGGCATTGTTCTAATCTAGTCACATATATTGTCCCAGTTGTTACTCCTAAAAGCTCGGAGCCAGGCACACATGAGGACGAGGGAATGAGGGGCGGAGGGGGAAGTTAACCAGCCCAGAGCTCCAGGCTGGGGCGGGGTGGGGCTGGGATGCAACCCCGTTCGAAGGCAGGCAACTTTGCCTTCCGTGTCCCCGGTTGGTTAAGGGAGGCGGGAAAGTTGGGCCTGGCTATTCAGGTCCTGCCAGGATCTCTGGACCAAGGGGAGCCAATGCCTGCTTTGGTGGGATTGATGGGAAGGAGCAGCTGGACAGCACAAGCTTTGGGCTGGACTCAGAAAATCTGGTCCCAAGTTTTTTTTTTTCTGCCATCAATTCGCCTTGCAGGGGCCTCCATCCCCTCCTCTGTAGATTTCATCTCGTTCTCAGTGGGATATAAAGTGGAGAATCGGACTTAGTGTAATTTGTTGCTTTTGACACCCTCCCTGCTGACCCTGGGGAGTAAGCACTGGGTGAGACCAGAGCTGACAAGTGGACGGCGTCTGATTATTCCAGATGGAGGCAGGAGAGTGGGGGTGTGGGGGTGGGGGACACAGGGCAGTGGGAGAGCAAGGCCACTGGCGGGGAGGCAAAGGACCCTGTTTCCAGCCCTGGTGCAAGCACGACTATTCGTGAGACTTTGGGCAAGTCATTTCACTTCCTCTCAGCTTTCATTGGCTCATTCAGCAAATACTTTTGGAGCACCAACTCTGCGGACAGAGCGCTGAACAAGACAGACAGGAGCCCAGCACTTCCATTATATTTTCTCTGCAAAAGGGCTGCATTCCTGCCCTGCGAACACCCTGGGGCTCCTACAAGGATTGGATTAAATGACGTGGAAGGAAGCACTTCCTCTGAATGGCGAGGCCTGCTGCACATGCAGGTAGGCGTCTGCACAGGCAGGAGGCATGACTCAAGACGTGTGGCAGGTGGGCCGTGGCTTGTCCCTCTTCAAAGAATGCGTCAGTGCAGAGCTCACCAGGCCGGACTCCCTGGCTTCAGACCCAGAATGCAGCGGGTCAGAGGTGTTCACTGGCTCCCAGTCTTCCTGACCTTCGAGGCTGAGCCATCAGAGCTACTGTCCTAGGGGCAGCAGGTCTGAATGCCTATCTTTTTGGGTTGACCATAGTCCCCATGGATCTTGCCCATGCCCTTACATGTATGTGTGGGTGTGTGTCAGGCAGGCTGGACAGATCTTAAGACTTTGGGTAGCATCCTGACTGTACACTTTCAGGCTTTTGACTTTGGGCAAGTCACTTAAGCTCTGTCAGTCTTTTATTTATATAAAAGGAGCTAAGCTCACCCTAGCCAGTTTGGCTCAGGGGATAGAGCATCGGCCTGCAGACTCAAGGGTCCCGGGTTTGATTCCAGTCAAGGGCATGTACCTTGGTTGTGGGCACATGCCCAGTGGGGAGTGTGCCGGAGGCAGCTGATCAATGTTTCTCTCTCATTGATGTTTCTATCTCTCTCCCTTCCTCTCCGTAAAAAAATCAATAAAGAATATTAAAAAAAAAAAAAAAAGGTGGAGCTAACCTCTCGTCCGGTGTGGCTCAGTGGTTGAGCATCCACCCATGCACTTAAGAGGTTGTGGTTTGATTCCCAGTCAGGGTGTGTGCCGGGGTTGTGGGGCTCCATCCCTAGTAGGGGGCATGCAGGAGGCAGCCGATCAATATTTCTCTCTCATCAGTGTTTTTATTTCTCTCCCTCTCACCATCCCCCCCCCCCTAAAATCAATAATAAAAAAATATATATATATATATATTTTTAAAAAAAATATATTTTATTGATTTTGTACAGAGAGGAAGGGAGAGAGATAAAGAGCTAGAAACATCGATGAGAGAGAGAGTCATCGACCAGCTGCCTCTTGCACACCCCCTACTGGGGATATGCCCGCAACCAAGGTACATGCCCTTGACCGGAATCGAACCCGGGACCTTTCAGTCCCCAAGCCGACACTCTATCCATTGAGCCAAACCGATCCCGGCGAAATATATGTATATTTTTAAAAGGAGCTAATACCTGCCCTCCTGCCCTCCCAACCCCCACCCTGCCACTGCCCAGGCTGATGGGACAAGATGTGTAAAATAGCAGCTTCTGTGGTTCTCTCTTCCTTCTGAAATCCTGGTGGCTCTGGTTGAATGTGTATTTCCACAGGCACCAGCCCTGCCTTTTTTTTTTTTTTTTTTTTTTTTTTTAACATGTAGGAGCTTAATCAATATTTGTTGAGCTAATGGATGTTGAAACAGGCAGGTGTAAGAACATAGTTGTAAACAGGCCCAGATCCTGATTCTGTACCCACGTGGAGCCAAGCTGTTAAGCCAGGCCTCGGGAAGAGAGGCCGCCCTGTTTACACTGCCCTCTGGACTGCGCGACCTGCACGGGAGCGAGCCGACCATTCGGCGGGGAGGACGGCCAAGGTGGGGAGGAGCAGACGTCTGCCTGCCTGGAAGGGTAGGACTCCTACGGCCAGGGTGGTGTCTGGCAGAAATAAAACCAGAGAGAAGAGAGCATTGGCTCTGGCGATTGTCCTGATGCCCCTCACACTTCTGACTCCTGCTGGCTTTACCTCTTGCCAGTGCCCGTGGCGCGGGCACCCCCCACCTGCCCGGTTCTCTGCCCAATCCCTAGTGCCGAGCACACAGGAGGGCCTGTGGGAGGTGGTCAAGAAATATCGCTGAATAATTGGGAAATGGTGTCATGCATGCCTCTGAGCCCCGGGCTGGGGGTGGAGAGGGGGATGAAATGCTTTACATTCCAGATACACCACCCCGTCC